TCTTGCTGGCAGGGGGGCGGGTACCCCTGAGGCAGCTGGGTTCCCAGCTGCTCTCTCTTTTACCAGCCGGGTTAGTGCTGCTTTCCTGCGGCCTGCCTCTGCCTTGTTATCACAGTGGTGGTATTTTTAGTCACTGCATAGATGGAGTTTCTAATTATTAACACCCCACCCTGGGGAGCAGCGGGCCGAATCCATTTTTAACTAATTAAGCTCTTTGAGAGAAGTTGGCATAAGGGGGAGCCAAAGCCCAGCCATCCATGGTCTGTGGTTCTCTTCCATGGGTCAAACATGGGGCAGTTTCTAGCAGAGAGGGCCAGCCCTGGGCTTTTCCCAGCCTGAGGCTTGAAGGCTTAGGGGACTGAGCTGCAGGCAACCTGCCTGCTTGAACCATGCTTCCAAGAGCCCCAGGGAATGTATAAATTCAGGCAGAGCCTAGGGAAGCCAGTGGCATGATTCCCTCCACAACAGTCTATTTCTCAAAGATAAAATCTCCTATTAGGATACCCATCCCACATGTCACCTACAAAAGAAAATACTTCCTTGAGGGAAGAGCCAAGAGCACCCCCTGGTGGCCACACAGGCCCACATGTGGAGAGAGGACTGTCTCCCTGAAGTACTTAGAATTCTACTCCAGGAGGAAGTTTAAAAAAAAAAATTATATTATATATTTTATATATACACACACATGCACACATATGCATACATATATACACACAAATATGTATATACATAAAAATAAATTATTATTGATCATTATTTATTAGTTATTATCCATACTTAATCCAGTAATAACTTTTTGTAACCAGACTTCCCTCTGCCTCTGTGCTTGTGAGTTACTGACTTCATCTCTGACACTGAAATCACAAGAAATCTTGAGACAATTCAGAGGGAAACGCAAAGAATACAAGGCGAGTCGGCATTGTTTTCAGCCATACATTCGACTTACGTTGGTTGATTTTTTTTTTTTTTTTTTAATTAAATTTCAGCCGGCTGGGCTTGTGGCTCAGTGGTAAAGCGCCTGCTTAGCATATGTGAGGTACTGGGTTTGATCCTCAGCAACACATAAAAATGAATAAGCATAATAAAGATATTGTGTCCATCTACTAAAATAGAAATATTTTTAAAATTTTTCAACATTTTAAAATACAGAGATTTCAAGTAAAACTCTAGATCTTTGGTTTCTTTGGAAAAAAATCAGAGATCCGGTGGGGCTTTCCTATCCATGGGAAGTGAGTAGGCTGGAATTGAGTAGACTGTGACTTTTTTTATTTTTAATTTCTTGGTAGTTGTGGGTGGGCAGAAGGCCTTTATTGTATTTATTTATTTTTATGTAGAGCTAAGGATTGAACCCCTGCCTCACTATGTGTTAGGCAAGCGCTCTGCTGGGGAATACAGCCCCAGCCCAGCCAGTGACTCCTTTAAATGGGGCACGTGGTCTCCAGTTTGGACAGGCTTCACCACTCTTTTTGTCTTAGTCCACGTACATCTTTCGCCTTACTGCCTGGATCCCGGAGGCCTTTGAGGTTTTCATCCTCTCTCCCCACTAGAGTCCAGGACAGGGCTAAGGGGACTTAGAAAGCCCAGTGGAAGTGTTGACCTCTCTCAGCCAGAGTGGCCTGTACATAAGGAAGAGTTAAGGCTTTGACTAAACATGGGGCATCTTACGAGTAAAATCTTAAAAGATTTTGCAGGGAAGCGGGTGCTGTGGATTGAACTTAGGGCCTCCTGCATGTGAGGCAAACATTCTACCACTGAGCCACATCTCCATCCGTTTTTAAAACTATTGAGACATGGCCTCTTAAGTTGCCCAACTTGTCCTTTGTAATCCTCCCAACTTGGCCTCCCAAGTTTTAGTGATTTGGGGTTTTTTGTTTTGTTTTGTTCCTTTGTTTTAGTTGATAACTCCAAGTTCTACCACCTCCTAGCTATGTGACCGTGGGCAAGTCACTTAACCTCTCTTGAAGTGGGGAGAATCATTCTTTTTTTTTTTTAAAGAGAGAATTTTAATATTTATTTTTTAGTTTTCAGCGGACACAACATCTTTGTTTGTATGTGGTGCTGAGGATCGAACCTGGGCCGCATGCATGCCAGGCAAGCGCTACCGCTTGAGCCACATCCCCAGCCCGAGAATCAGTCTTGCCTCACAGATAGGATTACATTGTTATGCAGAGCAGGGATTTAAACAGCTCCTAAGAATGGTAATGAAATTATGGGTGGCTTCACAGTTGATGTCAGTGTTCTATCCCTGGTGAGACTGTAGGAAGCATAAATTGCAGAACTTGACCCCAGGTCTTCAGAGAAGACCATTCCCCACCCCCACCCCCCAGATATTATAGTAACAATTCAACTAGGGAAGTATCATGTCCCTACCCTGTGCTTTCTAGAACTTCTGAGTCCATGGCTTAGAGTCCTTACTGCCCTCACCACTTTGTAAAAAATGTAGTAAGAACCATAATATTAAATTGGCCATCCTGACACAGTCAGGTGGCAGCTCCGTGGCCTTAAGTATGTTCCCTTTTTGTGCAACTGAAATTGAAACTCTGTATGCATGAAACATTAAGGCCTTACTCTGCATCTCCCTGGCAACATTCTGTACATTTGCCTGTTCCAGGTCCTGCATGTAAGTAGAATCATAAAGCCTTGGTCCTTTTTTGTCTGTCCTCATGGTTCATCTAGGTTGAAGCACGGGTTAGAATTTTCCTTTTTTTAGGCTGAATAATATTCTGTTGTATGGATAGACGACATTTCATGTATCTATTCATCCACCACTGTAACCCCTTCTTTTTGGCTATTACGAATAGCCCTGCTCTGAACATGGGCTTCTCCCTACTCTTTTTTTTAAAAATTTTTATGTAAGCTAATATAGGCTAAATGATATTGCCATTTGTGTGTGTGGGGGTGGGGGGGTACTGGGGATGAGCCCAGGGCCTCACGCATGCCAGGCAAATGCCCTAGAACTGAGCTACACGCCCCCATGCTTTTCTCCATCAGGATTCAGCCATGTTCCACCTCTTACTAGCTCTGTGGTCATGGACAGTTGTCTTCATCTATCTAAATCTCTCAGTTTCCTCATATGTGACTTGGAAATGACAGTCCCTGTCCTAGAGTGGTCACAGGTGTCAAATGAGAGTGACATGAGACAGTTTTTATAGTCGTCTGAATAGAGAACATACTCAGAACTTCTTACTGTCATCATTCAGCAAAAGGTGCAGCCCTGTACCCGCAAGGCTCTCCCTGCACCCCTCTCACCTGGCAACACTTTTTATATGGGAGTTGAACATTCATGGATTTTTCAAATTCATAGATTTTGGTATCCATGGGACATCTTGGAACCAGTCCTCATGGATACCAAGGAGCAACTGTGTGTGGTCCTGGGGACTGAACCCAGAGAATCTTAACCTCTACGCCACATCCCCAGCCCATTTTATTTTTTAATTTTATAAGTTGCTGAGGGTCTTGCTTAGTTGCCCAGGCTGACTGAACTTGCGATCTTCCTACCTCAGCCTCCTGAGTCACTGGGAGTACAGGTGTGCCACCGTGCCTGGCACATATCCTCAGTTTTTACCTAATGTCCTTTTTTCTGTCCCAGGATCCCACTTGGGATACCATCTTGAATTTAGTCTCCTTAGGCTTTTCTGAACTGTGATAGTTTCTCAGCCTTTCCTTGTTTTTGAAGACCTGGACTGTTTTGAGGAATACTGGTCAGTTTTTTCTTTTGAGATTTGTGGCTTGCTTTCTTTTAAATTTCACTTCCTGAAAGCTTACTGCAGTCATTGTGCTGGGCCTTGGGTTCATACCAGTGAATCAAGCTTTCATGTCATTGATGTTGACCAAGGGGCTTCAAGAAAGCTGCATGTGCCTGCGCTGGAATCTGAACTTAGACATCCAGACCTAGAGCCAACTCCCTCCACCAACGTGCTGTCGAGGCCTCCTATGGGAAGTGGAGGGAGTTCTTTGTGCGGGTCTGAGATGTTATTAAGTACATCTTGAAAAATGAGGAAACCAAATGACAATCGAGAAAAATAGGACAGTAAATAAAGTAAATCAGAACTGAATTGGAGTCATTTCTGGTGAAGTGGATTAGAGAAAGTGAGTTAAAATGATCTTTGTCTGCATTTATCTTGGGTTCCTCTGTTATTCCTGTTAAGTGCTCATGTGTGATTTATTCTGTTCTTAAATGTCCTAGTAGCACAATCTAGAATTCATGGCCTGTAACAACAGGCCAGTGTCCTTACACATGTTTTATCAGGTGTGCTGTGGATTCTGCCAAACATATCCACATTTCGTGGGGCAGAAAGTCGGGTACCAGAAGGCAGGGTTCGGGGCCCTGCCCTTCCTTGCCTGAGGTGGCATCCAAGTCTTTTGAGCTTTTCTGAGTCTTGGTCATCTCAGCTGCAAGTTAGGGCTACCCAGTAGAATGGCATCTTACACCTGAAAGAGGTTCTAAAGTCAGTTGCACATAAGGCCAAAATCTGGTAGAATCAGTTACCTGTGCAGAACCTTAAAATTGCTAACAAAGGAATGGACACAGTGCACTACATTGGAGACCCCTCCTGGTATGTCCAACACAGCCCACTTCTCTGCCAGCATTTGTCTGGGGGATTCCATCCTCATTCTTTTTTTTTTTTTTTTTGGTACCAGAGGTAGGGGCACATAACCAGTGAGCCACTTCCCCAGCCCTTTTTAATTTTTTATTTTGAGATGGTCTCACTAAGTTGCTGAGGCTGACTTCGAACATGGGATCCTCCTGCCTCAGCCTCCTGAGCCACTGGAATTACAGGTGTGTACCACTGAACCCAGAGGATATTGTATATTTTGTGGACCCCAGGGAACCCTGGTGACTTGGTTATTGCACAGTGGATGGTGGTAGATAGGCACTGATGTGTGTGTGTGTGTGTGTATAGAGTTTTCAGTCTTCTGCTGGGTTAGGTCCAGCCTTCAGCCCCTTTCAAACACCGCCCCTCACCCTGGGCTAATATGGTTTCTTTGTTTGGCCACAGAATGTCCTGAAGGAACATGCAGATGACGACCCTAATCTGGCCATCACTGGTGTCCCTGTAGTCAGTTGGCCAAAGAAGACTCCAAAGGTAAGATGCAAACTGCTCACATTGGGGAGAACATTGTCCACTGCCTTTGACACCTTCTGTGAATGTTGGCATCTTTTTCAGGGGGCTCTTGGGAGAGAGCACCCCAATTATCATGAATTGAATGATTTCAGTGATATGTTTGTTCATCGCAAGTTTTTGTTTTCTGAAAGGGCTTTTTTACCTAGCTGTGAAAGCTGCAAGCAGTGCCCCCTGCTGGTCACCCAGATAATTGCGGGGAAGCAATGTCTCACTTTGTCTTTAAGTGGATTTTAATCTCTCTCATTCACTCTCCTTTACCTCTTTCTTTCCATCATCCCTTTTCGTCCAGCTGCTCCATGGACTGTTTTCCCTTCTTTTGAACATAATTTTTTTATCTTCATTTAACTGATCAGTGCTGCACATAAAAATGTCTAATCAAACAGGAAAGGATGAAGAGACTAGGAAGAATGATAACATTTACATCAATGAAACTTATTAGGAGCAAGTTGCTGCTGTCTACTCCTCTGCATTCTTTGTTTTATCTGGACTTCAGCAGGTCAGGGGGGTAGATCATAGTGACTTTCATTTTACAGAAAAGGGAACTGAGGTTTAAAAAGGTAAAGTCACTTATTGGAATAAGTCAGTGCTTGATGGTCGGTGGATGTCCATCTCAAAATCCATCATTCAGAGAAGTCAATGATATATTGCTGTCCATCCCTCCAAAGGCCATGTGGGGTGGGTTGTGCACGGATGATTCCATCTACCATCCATCCAAATACACTCAGTTTGCCATCTTCTTGGGCAAGTTACATAAGCTTCCTGAACCTGACTTTCCTCATGTGTAAGAAGAAGTTTAGGCTTAAATTGTAATCCCAGCTACTTGGGAGGCTGGGGCAGGAGCATAGCCTGGGCAACTTAGTAAAGACCCTGTCTCAAATAGAAAAAGAATTAGAATAGGTTGGGGATGTAGCTCAATGTTAAGGTGCTTGTGGGTTCAATCCCCAGTGCCAACAAATAAAAGTAAATAAGTGTGAATTTTATTTTTATTTTAAAATATTTTTTTAGTTGTAGATGGACACAAAATCTTTATTTTATTTATTTATTTTTTTATGTGGTGCTGAGGGTCGAACCCAGTGCCTCATGCATGCAAGGCAAGCGTTCAACCCTTGAGCTACAACCCCAAGCCCAAGTGTGGATTTTAGATAAACAAATAAGATAAAAAAAATTTTTTTAGTATAAGTATATCCCAAATGTTGCATGGGATATAACTATCTTCAAAACGATTACTCATTTACCTGGAATGTCATGACGTACACACTGTATTTTTAGTTGCTGAATCTGGTAACCCTAGTTGAAAAGGCAATATTTCTGATATATTGGTTCAACAAAAAAAAATGATTCATTTCTTCTGTTTCTTTTAATCTTTTTAAAACGTGGCTAAAAAAGTTGAGAAGTACATATGTGGCTCACCTTATTTGTATCTCTTTTGGATAGTGCTATTCTAGATGATTCACTTTTGTTTGATTATCTCCTTAGAGGATATATTTCTGGGTGTGGAATTGCCTGGAAAGGAGCCCATTACTTGTGGGTGTGAGTTCTCTCCGAAGCTCAGTGGGACCCCATGTGGAGGTAGGAGTGGAAAGGGCTTCCCCTCTCACCAGCTTGTGGAGGTGTGCAGGGTTACAAACTCGCCTTCCCCTGTGTGTGCAATAGCATATGCCGTTTATCAGACCACAAACAGCTTGCAGGCACAGCATCTTGAAACCAATGGGCTGGGCCATAGGTGTGTTGAGTCCAAAGAGGAAAGCAAGGCTTTGCCTGTCCCCCACACCCAGGTCCCTCCTAGCTGGCAGTTGCTCCAGGAGGGGCACTAGAATGTGTGGAACAAAAGATTTTGAAAGGACAAACCCACCTTCATCCACTGTCAGAATTAATAAAGGGGCCCCAGTGGACCCCTGAATCACTTCAGGCAGACAACTGGCCCTGTCTGGAGCTGAGTCCCTAACCCCACCCTCCAAGGGCTTTATAGGCAGGAAAAATACACACACACACAAACAAACCTCTTTTCCCTTTTCTCCAAAAGCTTAGGTCAGGAAGATGGCTTCTGGTGGCACAGACCTTCTCTGGGATTCCTGGGGAGGGTGGGTTCCCAAACACTCAGTGGGCACAGTTCTGCCTGGCTGGTTGGTCAACGCTGCAGGGAGGATCAAGGGCTAGGTGGGGAAGAAGTGGTGGGAGGGAGGAGGGAGGACAGGGGGTGTCCAACAGCACTTTTTTTGTAGTGTAATAAAACAGTGTTTTCTTGGCGCATTCAAAGATTTGTATGACCATCGCCATGATCTATGGTCATGTTTATACCCCCAAAAGAAACCTCATCAGTTGGGGCTGGGGATGTAGCTCAGTGGCAGAGAGCCCTTGCCTGGGGTGTGTGAGGCCCCAAGTTCCACCCTCAGCACCACAAAGGAAAAGGGAACCTCATCAGTGCTCAACCCCTCCCCCGTGGTCTCCTTCTACCTCTGATCTACTTTCTATTTTCATTCATGGGTTTGCCTGTGGTGCCCATTTCTTATAAGCGAACTTATGCAGGAGGTGACCTGTTGTATCTGACTGTTTTCATTTTGCCTAATGTTTTCGAGGTCTACCGTGATGAAGCATGGATTAGTCCTCCTCCTTCTATAGCCAAATAATATCCCATTGTATGGATAGACCATTTTGTTTTGTTTCTCTCTCTCTCTCTCTCTCTCTCTCTCTCTCTCTCTTTAATTTTTTAGTTGTACATGGACATAATACCTTTATTTAGTTTTCCTTTTTTTTTTTTTTTTTTAATGTGATGCTGAGGATCAAACCCAGTGCCTCACATGTGCTAGGCAAGTGATCTGCCACTGAGCCACAACCCCAGCCCTTTTTTTCTTTTTTTGTCTTTCTTTGGAACCAGATGGAACCAGAGCCTCACCCATGCTAGGCAAGGCTTTACTACTGACCTACACCTCCAGCCCTGCATCAAGTTTTAGATGCAGTTTTTTAGATTTTCTTTATCTTTACAATGAGGGCAGGAGGTGGATAGTCTCAGCTGCGCAGTCCAGTCAAGGAGACCAAGGGGCTCAGAGAAGTTTAGGAGTATGCCTCAAGCCACACGGCTTGTAAGTAGTGAGGTGTTTGTCCCCATCTGCCTGCTGTGAGAACCTAATGAAAGGTGGCGGAGGCGTGGGGAGGGGAAGGCATTATGTTTCTGCACTTCCTGGCTGGTGGGGTTAAAAAGTTAACAGGAAAGGAAGAAGTAACTGAACGACTGGCTGCCTGGGCCGCCCGGGGTCTCTGGGTTCCCAGGGTTGCAGTCTGCTTCCTCCCAATTTGATGCAGGTTGGGTTGAAAGATCAAGGGTGCTCCATGAGGCTGCCCAGAATGGGTTCTGCTCTCGGGTCGGGTTTCTTAACAAGTAATTAATGCCCAATGGTGATTAGCAAGAAATGCTTTGATCTCCCACCTTGCCCCCAGGAGAACAAAGCCCTTTTCTGGAACTGATTAGGCTCTGAGGTCATTTCTGATGCGATGTCCTTCAAATCTGAGATGCCACCGAGTCACCATCCATCACCATTCACCCGATTGGCTGTTTTCACGAGTGGCGTTGGATTTGTTTTGATCTGTCTACACTCTAGCCGCTTCCTTTTATGACCAGGTGGCAGGATTTTCGGGGCCCTGTCTGTGACCCCAGAGGCAAAGGAAGGGAGCTGGGCTTATTTGAAGCCCGGCCTCTGACCTTGGCCTTATTAGCAAGCTGAACTGCTTCAGCCGGTCGCTTCTCTCCTGGATCTTGCTGGATCTTTCCCAGAGTAGACTGGGGAAGGAGAGGAGCTGGGCCAGGGCTGTGCTGGCAGGTGAGCCTATGGAGGCAGCTGGTTCTTAATCCGTCGTCACCAGTGGCCAAAGCAGGTGCCACTTGAATTTAAATTATTGGCAGTTTTTCTGGAGCAAAGGAGCAGAGGGGTTGGGGTGTGTAGGACAAGTGCTCTGGCAGGGGATGTGGGGCCAGCCCTCTTCAGTAGTTACTGGATCAGCTTTCTTATGGGGACATTGCAGGCTACAGGAGGAAGCGACACACCACCTGCTGCCCTGCCACCCATGGTTTTGGTATGTTTCTCTTCCCCTTCCTCAACAGTGGGGCAGGGAGATCTGGGAGGCCTGATCCAGCTGGGGTCTCTCAGATGTGACACGTGGCCTGTCCCAGAAGAGGAGGCACATCATTCAGTGTGAGGCCCCGTGTACTTCCTGTCTCACACGTGTCCTCCTCTCAATTCCTGTCACAGAGTCATTAAGTTGACAATGTACAGTTGATGATGAGGAGGGGCAACTGTGGCAGTGGCAGCCCTTTCACGTCCCCTACTCAGGGTTCATCATTTCCTAGGAAGGCATGTGGTCTAATGATGACCAGTCCTTAGACTGGTGGCATCCCCTTCATCTGGGGACCTTGTTTTAAAAATATAACTTCCTGCCAGACATGGTGGTGCATGCCTGTTATCCCAGTGGCTCAAGAGGATGAGACAGGAGGATTGCAAGTTCAAAGTCAGCCTCAGTAACAGCAAGGTGCTAAGCAACTCCATGAGACCCTTTCTCTAAATAAAAATACAAAATAGGGCTAAGGATGTGACTCAGTGGTCCAGTGCCCTTGAGTTCAATCTCCAGTACCTCCCCCAACAAAAAAATTAAAAATATAATTTCCTGGGATCTGCCCCGGACATTGTGATCCAGTAGATTTGAAGTGAGGCCTGGGAATCTGGACTTTCTAAAAGCTTCCAGGTCATTCTCATGCATAACCTGGATGTGCTTTGGGGTCAGATGCACCTGAGGATTGACTAATTATTCTAAAGGATGAGTCTCAACCCCAGTTTATTCATCTGTTAAAGGGGCTCATTGAGTGGTCCTGGCAGGATCCCTGTGAGATGCTGCCTGTGAAATGCTTCTGTAGTATCAGCCTACCATTGTAAAAAATTATACTGGTAGCTATTGTAATTTTTTAGAATTAT